AAACTGTTAAAATGGATATTCTTCCATGCTAAGTTACTTTCTTACTGTCATTCTTCACGTTTTTAATCATGCTAATAAACTTTTTTGAGATGACTTTTGCATTAACTTTTGTGTTCATTTTTGTAACCACAGCCACACTTACCTGCAGCAACTGCTCTTTGTGTTGAGAATCAAGTTTTCAGCAGCAGCACCACCTTGCATTTGTTTAAACAGCATTTGATTATTTTTTGAAGGGATAACAGTCCACAAAAAATGTATCACTTTTGGTTGGGTTTCCTTCATGTTCTCTCAAGGCCTCATAAATTCTCATTGCTTTTGCATATGCCATCTTCCAGCTAAAGGGGTTACGGTAGAACTTGCCAAAACTGCACTTTAAAATGATGGGTTTAATAAGAAGCTCTCTGAGCAAATTGTTCCCAAATGTTTTCAGCTCAAAAAACTTGCAGGCAGTTTCTTGCAAATTCTGTGAGTCTGTCTGCCTCTGAGGATCAGGCCCTGGGGACTTGATTGGGAGGGTTTTGCTAGCTTGAGACATTTTCTTCAGGAGCACTAAACAAATGCTATTTTTTTAACATGTCTTGTTTTAAAAAACTGTTTAAAGTGGATAATTTCTGGCAGTTGGGATATAACCTTTAAAACAACAAGCAGCAGCAGAAATAGTACAGAGCTGGCAGCTGTATGTCTTGCAGTGCTTGGGCTGTAAGTGTGAGAGAGCAGAGAAACCTCAGCTTTTATATCATCTGGTAAGTAAAGTAAGAACTAATTTATATTGCTTTTGAAGTCTAAAAAAGTTGTGTGTTGGGGTTGTTATAATTACTGGTGATCTTATGCCAGGTGGGATGCCATGAGTGTGTCATTTTAGGTTTGCCTTGGGCTGGCTTTTTCTGACAGTTAATGATTTCTGTTGCCAATTTATGAGCCTTTTATTCTCAATCATCTTTGTGGAGTAGTTGGTATTCTGTAGGATAGGGTGAGGGGGTTGATTTGGTGAGGATTTTCAACAGTAATTCAGACTCAGTATTATTCTCATTTCAGGATGGTGCTGTTGAATTTTTGCACACAGTACAATGAGATTTGTCTGTTGGGAAAATGAGCTATGTATGCTCTGGAGTGAATCCATTAATTTATCTTCTGTTCATCTTGTAATCACCTAGTAGTGGGAAAATGTTTTTTAATGTGTAATGAATTTAGCTTAAAGTAGCAAATACGTATTAAGACAAACTTCTTAAAAGGTACTTAAGTGTTTTAATCCCACTGGTTAAAAATCACACAAGGGACTGCATTTCGTGTCTCTCATCTTTTAGTCCTGTCACTTAAAACTTCAGTTTGTAACAGCTTTGAGAAGTTTTGGGACGGAAGGTGCAATGTAAATAGTAGGTTTTTGTTTTATTCTTTCTTATGATCTACTTTGTTCACTCTATTTAAACAAGTATTCTTACACTTGAGATGGGGAATTAAAACATGAGCAGTAATGGAGAAAAGCTTTCTACGAGTAAGCCTAAATTCAGCAGGGTTGAAAACCTGCTTAGTCCTGTCGAATAAACAGAATAACTCTGAGGGGACTGTACCTACACCTGAATTTCTAAAGCCAGAGTTCCTTGTGAGGGAAGGAGAGCAGTGCAGCTCATTGTGTCAGGAAAGGGGCTTCCTTTTCCTTTCAGGTCTTGAGGGAGCATTTGATGAGTGCAGTTAATACCTGCTCACAGCCCGTGCAAAGAAACTCGAGTCCAGTAGTTCATTAAATTCCCCAAAACACTTTAAAACGTCATCTAAGGGGACAAGTGTTGCAATTCCAGTGTCCAAATTCATTACTCCCAGGTTTGGAGGTCCCGCCTTGTCCCTCTGCTGTTCCTGTCCTGCTGTGGGAGACAAGTGTGCGAGTTGTCCTTTGGTGGTGGTCTCACTAATGTGTAGTGTCTTGCCCTGGAGAGTAACTAAACAGTGTGTTTTCTGTCAAGGTGGCACTGGATGTGTTGCATCACAGGAGGAAGATGCTGTGCAAGGGTGTGATTTAGCCAGAAACTTTCAACACAAAGAACAACTTCGTCTCACGAAACCACAGCCCCCTTTTGCTGGGTGACCCCAGGTCAGTTCATGTTCTGCTCTGAGGAGCCCAGGGCCCCCTGCCCTTGGTGGGGGGAGATGGGGGGAGCAGGGCAGCACCGGCCCAGCCCTGGGTATCCCCACGCAGCTCCTTGAGGTCTCTTCATCTCTGGAGGGGAAACAACCTCTCCTGCCTGCCGTGGGAGTCCCTGGCCCTCTGAGCCCCCCACAGAGGAGGTTTTTCCCCTCCCCTCTGGCCGAAGGCCGGTGCTGCTGGGCAGACACCTGGGGCGGTGCTGGCCCCTGTCCCTGCCCCTGCTCTCAGGGTCCCTGCCTGGAGCCGCCCAGCTCTTGGCACTGCTGGGAAGGAGGCGCACACAGCAGAGGCAGGTAAAGTGCTCCGGGGTCCTGGCTCTCCCCAAGAACCCACAGTCTCCTTCTCTTCTGCCCTCCTCTCTCTCCTTTTCCAACCTGGACCCCTTGTGGGTTCCCTCACTGCATGTGGGGCTTTTTGTCAGAGGTGCTGAGAGCCCGGGTGCAGGGGTGGGCACTGGCAGTGCAAGGGTTTATCAGCAAGACTTGTGATTATGAGGTCAGCTTTCTGGTTATCCAACTTCAGATAAGACAGCAACTGCATTGGAGAGGGTGATAAAATGTCTAGGATTTCTGTACATGGGAGAGCGGCTGTTTAGGGAGCAAGAGGAGAAGGCGGTCTGGGAGCTCCTTAAGGGTGACTTGTCAGAGATCTGATCACAGCATATGCAAGGAACAATCTCTGGGGAAATGCTGGATAGGATCTGCAAGAGATCCCCACAGAGCGATTTGGGATTGTCTGAAAGCTGCAGTGAACTGCAAACAGACTTAGTTTCACTGACAAAAGGAACTATTTCCCACAGATTGTCTTGCCAAGCAGGGCTGTTTCACAGCAGACTTTTTCCTGCACCTGCTGATTTGTCTGCCTGAATTAGTCAGGATGAAAAAGGACTTTCCTTAGTATTTTATCTCCTTATGTATTGAGTTAGCATGCTTTAATTGAAATACACTCCCGATTGAAGTGAATGAATTGGAATAAACAAATCAGGACTGACATTGGAGGTATGATTTAAACTATGCAGAGTAATCAAACCTAACTGCAAAATTAATAGGGCAAAGGCAGAAACAAATACAAGTAAGTTCATTGTGTAGGAAACCAGATATATCTGAATGAGAGACATGTACTGTGGTGCTCCCAAAAGAATAGCTGAAAAGGGTTTCAGTGTGTGTAAAAACAAGACAGAGGCGATAGTTCTTAAAGTCTAATGTTTAAATTTTTCATCATCTGTCAGTTTGAGTCACTTCTGTTACAAGACTGGAGTTAAGTATTTGCAACAGACTGAAGTATTGCTGGAGGCTGTTGAAAGAGGTTTTCATAAAAGAGCACCTTGATACATGAGATTAAACAATCCAAGAAAGGAGTTCGTATTTATCAAATGTTCAGATCTGTAACTCAAGCTGTGGCAGAGAACTTTGAAAAAAAAAAAAAAGAGAGCGAGAATGGATCCAAACTCAGCAACAAAAGGAAATGCAGAAATTCAGTGTGTTGCAGATAAACCTTTGAAATGAGGGAAAGGGAGAGAAAACCTAACAAAGTCATCTCAGGGTCAGAGCCAAGTTGGCCAGTGGGGCCCTCTGTGTCATTTGTTAAAATCAGTGACTAGTCCCAGCTAAGGAGCCGTGATCTGTGGAGTAGAGCATCATCCAATATCAGATTAATCAATGGTTTTACCTGTGGGGGTGGTGACTCAGGGCTGAGCAGAGGGACAGGCTGAGGGTGCAGAGGCAGAAGATCCTCTCTGCAGTAGCTCAGTACCTTGTGGATTAAAGCAACTCACAGGCAGAGGGGACATGGCTGCAGAAACTCCTGTGAGTGAGACCTGCTCAGTCTCAGCTTCCTTTCTATCCTGTGGCATTACTGCAGTGTGGATCCTTGTCCTGCAGGAACTAGACCCAAAGCAACATATTCATTTTGTTTAGGACAACTGTGAGACTGCCAGTTTGTGACACCCCAGTGAAAAGCTCTGGGTGTCCCCTTACTGCCCTTCCAGCTAATTTATCTTTCAGAGATCTTTCTGCCACACAGCACAGAGCAGCAGGGATGGCAAGAGCTACTAAACCATCTACTTCTGTAAAACTGTGTCCAGGGTGATGGTGGGACACTGATGGTACACGTCTCCTGAGTGCAAGGACTACAGCTTTGATCCATCTAAATGAAGTGACATGGTCTTGCACTCAAATGTGTCACTCTCCCTCTGCTTCAAAAGAGCAGAAGGACGGTCTCTCCCTTTTTGCAGAGCTCTGGCAGCAGGGAAGGGGAGCTTTCCTTCCCCCTCCCTGCCTGGAGCACCCTGCACTGACCAGGGGCAGGGACAGGGCCAGACCCCCCACCCTGTGAGTTCAGAGAGCTGCAGATGGAGGTCCCAGACCTGTCTGCAGGGATGGTGCAGGCACAGCCTGATGAGCTGGGAAAGGCTTAGGCTTTGCTTGGAGCTTCTTTATTATTTCCGTTTTCACTCCCTCTATTTCTCTTCTATTTTATCTGATTTTAAAAGGATTTGTTTTCTTGCTTTAACAAACCTGCACTGAAGTAGTATTTAGCTGGAGTGTGACTTACTAAATAAATGGTGCTACCAGGAAGAAAATTAAACAAGCCACTTGGTAAAAGGGAAATAAATCTGGCTGCACCTCCACACTTGGCATGTGTTTGCATAAAATATATCTCTATCCTGGAAAAAGATCTAAATTAAAAACTTGGGAGCAAACACTTTCGGAACGTTCTGATCTCTATCTGTACTCCACAGCATAGGCTGTCTCTGATTTATAGCTATGAAAGTTTGGGGTGAATATTGTCTTTTGACTCTGTTCTTTCTATTTTTCTTTTCAATCCAAATGTCTTTTGATTCTAATAAACACCAGAAGAAATGTCCAGACTTTTGAAGATATGTTTCTTGTTGATATCAGTGAATCATGCTGAGATTATTCACAGTCAGAGCTCTGAAGGTAAGACCAGAATTCCTGTCTGAGGAGTGTATCTTGGGTGGAAAAAGCTGTGTAATAAATTAGGTGCAGCACTGTTTAGTAACTAGGACCAATTCGAATTCATGGAGCTATGCCAGCAAAGAATTTCACCAAGACTGATTATTATTTAATAGCCTTTTATTTTCACTGTTTTTCTGTAAATTAATTTGTTCAAAACTGCATTAAATGCTTGTAAATAAATTATATATGTATATATAGTTTTCATCACTGCATATAATACTTGTCCTTTTGTGTAACACAAATGATAAAACATTAAATTAACTTCTAGTAACGGGATAATCTTTACAGATTTGCCTCCATTATTACACAAAGCTCTGGTAAGTATTTTTATTTGATCTTTCTATTAACATTTTATATTATAATCTAAAAATTATAATTTATTACATATGTTTACAATTTTTTCCTTAGGAGGAAATAATAACTGGGAAATATCTGAATGGTAATGTACAAAGTTGTCCCCACTTACACTTTTAAAATTAATTAAAACTCAATATCTCACTGTAACTTTTTATGTTCCATTTTTCATGTGCAGCCCTCCTTGATATACTTAATTTTCAAAGGTAATGTATTACTCTCAACAGCTTGATTTTTCAGTATTATCTTGCACTTCAGATATGATCTGTTTCATTTCCAGAGAAACTGGGACATTATGGATAGAATGACATTGCCACATATGATTGCTTTGATTTAGATCTCCTGGGAGGAGCATTTCCTCTTAACATGGGAAAAGCTGTTTTCACAAAAGATGAAAAAAATCCCAACATGTACAGAATGAGGCTGAGGATAAATACCTGCTGCAGTTTTCAAAGTTCTGATAATTAACTTTGTTCATATGTGTCAGAATGGCTGCTTAAGGAAATTGGGTGCAGTTCCAGCTTTCTGTCCACCTCCCTCTTTCAGTCCTAATCCCCCCATCCTCCAGCTCCTGGTGACTTTTGAATTATTTGCTAATTTTGTCTAAATTGGAAAGAGCTGTATGAGCCTCAAAGGCCATTCCACTCCTACATATTTTGAGAAAATCAGTGGCTGTGTAAAGAAGACACTGAAATTAATGACTGTGCTGAGGGAAAGGCAGCAGACCTTCCTCCCTGGGCTTTCTACAAGCAGAGAACAGGTGTAAGGGGTGCCAGGAAGCACATCCTGGAGATGGTACTAATGGCAGCACTCTGGAAAATTGAGATTATTGTGGGTCTTTGTGGAATTAGATGAAAAAAAACATAACTAATTAATTCCATTTTTCATTGAACCATGTATTTTCATTGCATTAAATAGATCAACTATTACTCTGGTTAGGCCAAAAAGCTGAATACTCGTGTCATTATGGTGTTAGCAGCACTGCTTGTTTTTCTTTTTCACTCTTGTAATGTGCTATTTTCCATGTTATATTATTTTACTGGCATTTTTGGTCCTGTTTTCTGTTACAGTTCTAATGTCTGGACAGCAGATATGCTTACAAAAGTCATGGCATATTTTCATGCCCAGGAAGTTATGTTTACTCTTAGCAGCCTCCAGGTTTGTGACATTTAAAATGCATGAAAATTTTTATTCAAAAAGGAATTTAAAAAGCAACTTATCTCTGTAGCCAAAACTAGGCAGTCAATAATAGAGGTAACTAACACATCTAGAGTCTAGCAGCTAAATAAGAATAGGGTTTTTGGTCATCTTTTCCCCCTAAGATTGCAGGAGTATGCAGGGCAGAAATAATAATAACAACAATCTTTTTGCTTTTCCTCTGTCAGTATTTGTTGGTGGCAGTGCAAGTTAAGCAAAGGCAGCAATGAACTGCAACACAAATTCCAAACCAATTCTGAAATAATTCTGTCAGGAATTAGAAGGGATTTTACTCCAGTCTGCTGCTAATGAGCCTTACAGAGCTTTCTGTTCCAGCGTTATGATTCCCCTTGGATTTTTCAAAACAGACATGAGATTGTTAACTGGTAATGCAGGTTGATGTGAGAGAGAATATTTTTGGCTTATGACCCGCTACAGACTTTTCCTCCCATCTAATTGCACATTTCCTTCCCTTTTTTAAGTAATAATAATATGCACACGTACCTGATTTTTTTTTTTTTAGCTCTTTAAAACTTTCATTTTCCCAACTCTGCTGTGTGAGGCAGAAAAGCTTTATTACTCTTGTTTTATGAAGTGAGAAACTGAGGCATCATTGTTAAAAGGGTCCTTGGAGAGGACTTGTTCATGAAGCCAAGAATAGGGTTTGAAAATAACTGTCTTTCAGAATACATTTACATTATTTTTGTTTCCAGTTTGTGTGGAGAATAGTTAAGACAGTACAGGAGCTAAGCACTTAGTTCTCCTTGAGCACTTGAGTAAAAGGTGTCCCTAGAACAACAGTGTGAGTTCCATATATATTACACTTATTTTCTGTACTTCAGATGTCCATACAAAGTTACCTGAAGAACCTTTTATACCAGCCTAGGCAACTACTGTCTGAATTTCAACAACTTGATCAGCAGCAGTTCCAAACTGCAATGAAGTATCTCTTCAACAGCAAGAAGGAGCATCTTGTAAGTCCCTTTGTGCTTGTGAAAAGGAAAAGCTGCAGTCAGTGGTTTGGATAAATGGGAGAGGGACAGACTGGGGGGCTCACAGGGGACACTGTGCAGTTATTTACCTGGCTCAGGTTAGATTCCAGGAGCGCCTCTCCTCAGGTTAGACTTCATTTAATTCTTATTGTCTAAAAGTCTGCTGCCCAGTACAAGTCATCCTTTGGATTTTTCACTGTCATCAGTAGAGAGAAACAGATCTCCAGAGAATGAATCATCTTCCTACTCTAATATCTAAGGTAGGTATGACCAGTTATTCTCAGGGAGTATGTTCTTCTTAAAAGTGACTGGAAAGAGAGCCAAGATGACTAAAGAAGGTGAAATTAGTAATTTTGTTAATTAGTTATAGGAACATGTGAGCAAACTTTTGACATTTTGGAGGGGAGGCAGCATGACATGATTTGCTGGTCTCTGTGGTGTGTTCCTGTGTGATCCATCTGAAAAGCCTCGCTCAGAGTCAGTGGGTGCCTCCCAGGGAGGATTGTCCCTGCAGAGGGGATCTCCAGTGCAGGTGGGATCACAGCCTGAGGTGTGAGAGCACTTGGATCTTCCCTGCTGCCCCTGGAAGGGCCTCCAGCCTGGGCATCGCTGAGGGGGTGGAGATTGACCTGGGAGAAAGGGAAAGCTCATCCTCAGACACGTGAGGTGACTGCCCAGAGCAAACACTGTATAATCCACTGTTCAAACAATGGAGGGGCAGCTCCTGCTGCCAAAGCACACGGATCAGGTGTGCACCAAGCACTGGGAGCCAGGGCAGCAGAGCATGAGCCCTGTCAATAAACTGTAAATCACCAGGACTGTCAGCTCTGAACAGGCTGTCCTAGACATGTCGACTTGTGAGGTGGCACCTGTGCTCAGGGAATCCCCAGAGTACTGTTTGACATTGCCCCTTCTTCTGGAAGGGGTGTTTGCAGTAACAGCTGCAAGAGATACTGCATGGGAAAGGTCTGTTCTAGAGATGTCTATATATTAAATTATGCATGAAATGATACCTATTCAATTCCAATATCCCTTTATTTTTCAAGTAACTAATTCTTTCATGGGAACACACACTATAATTTCAGCCATTTCGGTTATTTTTCTGTTTTTCATTTTGATTTTATAAAAAAACCTCAAGCTGGTTTCTGCCCAATGCCAGAAAGGAATTATCTGAAGTAATGCAAACGGAGTGTTTTGCAGGAATTTTTCATGTGAACAGCACCATATTCTTTGTGGAATGGTCTCTGTCAGGCCTCAGAATGAACAATGTATTGAATTAATCAACAAGATGTTCTTATAACCCTTTGTTGCTTGCAGGAAACGGGAAATATTATTCTTGATTGGGATGAGACTAGAGAGAGAATTTTTCAAAGCCCAGGAGTAAACAGGACCTTGTTCCTTGTAACACTGGATAAATGCTTCCTGGCTCTGAGTGCTTTGGACTGTGTGGATATCCTAAGCCAGGTTTTGCACGTGTCAGCAGTGAACTATCTCCACCCTGATGTCATTGGGAGCCTCCCAGACAATCTGCTGGAGGATGCTTTCAGAAACCTGTAAGCCATTTGTTTTTCAGACACAATTAATACTACGTCATATTTGCTGGTCTCAGTCTATTTTCCAGATACAGCTTCCTGCTTATGTGTTGCTGGTTATAAAATAATTTTTCCATGTGGGTTTTTTTTAAAAAGAAAGAGTTAACTCATTAGTGAACTAACATGCCCTTGTATCACTTAGATCATCATTATTCAAGGACCTCTATGACAAAACCTCAGCAAATACTCAGAGAGCTCTGTATGGCTGGATGAAGCAGATTCTACAGAAATCCTATAACAGGAGTGGTATGTTATGTACAAAGTATTTTCTCTTGCTTATCATAAAAAGGTCAGCAAAGGCCTACCCATTGTATTGAATTGTTTTCCAAATTTAACACATCTGTTTAAGAGTAGCTGTCTAGAATACCTTTTCTTCAGAATACAGTAAATGTAATATATTTGTTACTCATGACAAATAGTTCTCCAAATATGTTCTTGTAGAATGGAATCATTCAATTGTTAATGTTGGAAAAGACCTCTAAGATCATTGAGTCCAACCAATGGACTCTTCATCTCTTCTGCACAGAGCTATATTCAGTCTTTTTCTAGTACTCTGATCTTTTCTCTCTGTACTTTTTCTAAGACTGAAATAGGATACAGTGGTCAGGTGCTCTGCCAAGGTGTGTTGTTCACTTCTGAACACCTATTCAGACTAGAAAAATAGCTCTGGCTCAGGGTACATTAGCCAATGCACTGCTTAAAAACAAAAGAAATGCAGGATGTTGTGAAAGCACATGGCACTGACTTGGTCAGAAAAGGGACTAGATAAAAACAGAGTTAATTAATTCTGATTGTATGCATTTTACCACATCTGTTTGCCTGGTTAATGTGCCTTGAACGGCTGTGCCACAGCTGTGCCAGCACAGGACAGGCTTCACGAGGGAGCTCTGCAGCAGCACTGAACCATCAGAGCCACTGCCTGGCTTTCACTGAACAGCCCAGCAGAGCTGTCCTGTGAGCATTTTAGACTTCTGGATGTGTTTGTTCATCCCCTTTCCCTGGAAATCAAGGGCAAAATGCCCGTTTGCTTCAGTGGAGCTAAATTTGTCCCCTGGGTCTTCAGCTCTTTCAAAATATTGAGGTAACCCATTAAGTCATAGAGAGGAAGTTGATGACACTGCTGTGTGGTGGTGTTACTGCCAGGGCATTGCTGGGGAAGCAAAGATGCAGAACTTGCCTGGTGATACTCAGCAGTCCTGGGAAAATCCCTCAGTGTCACCTTGGATTGTGTGTGGAACATTAGTGAACCCTCAGGGTGTGGGAGATCACCCAGGGAGGGGCTGAGAGTTAAGGTGCCTCTCTTACCTCCTGGTTGCTGCTTCCCTGCCAAAAGCAGTGCAGGCATGGTCAATCCACACCACAGGCCACAGCACAGAGGGCAGGACAGCAGAAGAGTCCTGCAATAGTGTGATTTGTTCACTTTCTGTGTGGGTAGCACTGGGACCACCTGGGAAAGGGGTCATTTTTGGGGGATCACACCTACCATGGTTGGTACCTGCAGCTCTGTTCTGCTAAAGGCCACAGTCAACGTCCTTAAATTGTGCTCGTTTTTCTTTAACTCTTCTGTCATGTCTTTCAACTCCTGTAATATCCCTGGTAATGGGAGGTGATATCACTTTAAAAAACAGAGGCCTGACAGGTCTGCTGGGAGCATCATCTTGTCTCAGTTAAGGAGCTTAGATCTGTGTTTTCAAAAAAAGCACTAAATGGGGTCCTTCTGATAGCTTCTGATAGATAAAGGGTGATGTTTTTTCAGATACTGAAAACTCTTCAAAGTGCCCTGATGATTTTATTCTAACAGAGTTGTGGGTATCAGCACTGCCAAGGAATGTGTTCAGAGGTATCACACGCTGAGCCATCCAAATTATGATACCTTGGAGAAAACAGTCTGTGGCTCAGAGTCCATAAATACTTTATTTCTCAGGGATATTTGGATCTTGACTTCATTTACAATCCTTGGGAGAATGTTACTAAATGAGTGCCATTTTTTTAACTGTTATGCAGTATTCTGTATTTTTTGCCAACCTATTTCCATAGAGGTATTTGAACCATTTTTCATTTTCTCTGTTATTGCTATTGCATATTGCTGAAATAAATGGCATCATCAATAATAATATATGATATATAAAGTGTTACAAAGTATCATGGCTTCCTGATGTTCTTAAATAATATAATTGATTAGGGAAACTGAATTTAAAAAATACTGCTCCATATTTAATATTACTGGTTAAATTTTTCCTGTCCCACACTTTATCCATTTTCTATTTCGACAACATAAAACATTAACGTTTTTGTACAAGAAAATCTGAGACATTTGAAACACTATTTCATTTTCATTAAAAAATGTATGGGCTCATAAAAATGTGGTGCTAAAATGTAGCCAACAGAGGGAACCTGACTCTCTCTGCTTTTAGGATTTTTCAGATTGTTTTTGATTGTTTACCAGTAACAATATACTGGGTACAATATCTTTGAAAAGCAATAACTTTCCTAACATTGTAGTAAGTATTTATTTGTACAAAACAGACTTCAATGAATCAACTTCTTGGGTCAGTGCAGAAAGCTTATGGATTTTGGGAAGATTCATGGTCCATCTCCCATTAGAAGAAATTCTGAAAATTAGTCTCAGTGAAGTAAGTAACAAAGTGTGGTTGGATATGTCATTACAAAGTGATGTCAGCTACAAACAATATGAACACAAATGCAAACTAAAACATGAAAAAACTTTATATATTTTAATTAAAGAGAAAATACAAATGTATTATTTACAAATATTCTTTTATGTTTGTAATTTTAAAGTGCCTATAATTAATATATAATTATTTATCTGTCTCAGTATTATGTGGCTTCTGCTGAAAGGGATCAGTGATAGAAGACCTCAAATTATTTGAGAGTTTGGCAGAGAATTGCTCAAATTGCTCACTCAGCTTTGTCTTCAAAAATACCATGTTATCCAAATCTATCTTCTTCCTTTCTCTACAACATGAATGGGGTCAATTAATTTAGTGTGTCAAACACAGATTTTATTGGATGCAATTGTTTCACAATGCTGCTGCATGGTTCTGTTTGTGCTGGTCAGATCAGACTGTTCATTAGCTACGACAACGCGACAAAGCAGCTGGACACGGTGTATGATATCACACCAGAGCTTGCACAGGCTTTCCTGGAGAGGATAAACTCATCAGGATTTGATATGAGGAACACTTCAACCATCTACAGGCAAGACTGCTTTTTTTTTTTCTTATATGGCTGTGTGTGGATGGAACGAATAAGTAAGGAGAAAAGAGAGGAGCAATAAGCAATACGGCACAGCTTTTCCCTTCCAGCTGGAAAGTCTAGGCTGAAATCCAGCCCTGTTTAGCAACAGTGAAGAATTGCTACTTTATGATTTTTTGGAGGTGTGCCTAATTAGCTAATGCTTTGTCTCCTGCTGCACAGTGAGGAGATGCCTGTAGTATTAGTAGGAAGACTACAGCAGTATTTTTGGGACCCGTCACGTCGTACAGTGCAGCAGTAAAACAAACTGAGATAGCAGGACATGAGTTGTCTTGGCTGTTTGGATCACAGAAGGTGGAGTTGTTCTGTGGAAATCATGTTACAGTTAGGACTGAAGGAGGAAATCTGCAGTCCTCCAGGACTGCAGGTGGTTTTTAATTGACGTGGTTGTCACCAGAGAGGTCACAAAGTGAGGAGCTGTAAAGCCTGCCCTGCTGTCCTCTTTGTCCTGCAGGGCAGACATGAGCTATGCCTAAATATGGGTGACTGTTAGGTGTGTAAGCAGGAAACTGCATTTTCAGGGCTGTCAAACCAGCACTGAACTAACTTTAATAAAAAACCAAAACAAACTGCTCTTGCTCTGCCTCTCTTACTCACAAAGAGGCAGAGAGTGTGAGCTGCTGCGAGGAAGCGCCGTGCTCCACATTTACATTCACACTGTCAGATCAGTGGATGTATTTAGTCCCAAGACACCACTGTCTGAAGTTATTTGTAGTCTCCTTGGGGGATACCTTGGAGTTTTAAACTAATGGAGAATATGCTTTATGGCTTCAGAGCTCCTGTCGCTGCTGCAGTGCAGCTCTGGCTTCCCTGAAGCATTGCTCACTGTCAGGGGTGTAAGCGAGAGGAGAATTATGCCCACGCTCTAAATTTCAGTGTCAGAAATCTTAGAAATGATTTTGTCACTCACAAGAGCTGCCACGTTCTCACAGAGGAGGGAAATGTCATGCTCCATAATCCTTAATATATTCCATTTTTACAACACACTTAGTTTATATTACTCATTTTAACCATACCGATGATTTAAATGCACTTTTACTTTTAAGAAGTAGTGTTATTCATTGTTGCTAATCCCAAAGGAGATGAAGAGCTCTTGGTGGGTATGCAGTAATGCATTGGAAGGTAATTATTTGTTATAAAAATGCTCTTACAGATGTTTCTTTGATTTGTATGTTGGTTTGATGATGTCCCATGAATTCAGATGGGCTGCTGAAGCAGTATATTGTTATATCTCTAGCAGGTTGTTGTTGAGGGAATAGAGGAAATAAAAGCCTTTCTGTGCTGCAGAATTTCACTGAGTGTGTGATAGTGCTGCAGCAGTGTCCAGTGTTGATTTGGACATTATGGCCCAAACTCTACCTATGCCTCTTTGAATTGCTAAAAAATGGACTGCTGCAGAAAAGCTGGGCTTTTGCCACATCTTTGAGGTTCTTGTTCTGTGTGAATTATGAAAGCAAAGACTAAGATTTTACAGGGACAGGGAATTGATTCAGGCTTCCTACAAACAAGTTCATCACCATCACTATAAAGTTCAAAGTCCACCAAGAGTGATCTGCAATTCCAAGCTCTTTCTTTGCAGGGCTGCAGGTAGTGGCACTAAATAAGCACAAGGCCTAAGTCAGAAGGCCCCCTACAACAGGCACTTCCCCTTGGTGGTGTGGCTGTGGTTGTACTTTACAGAGGTTAATGGAAATGTTGACTTAAATATTACAGCACAGGTCCTGTGAAGGAGCATGAGCTCCACATCTGGTCCACAACATGGCCTTGCAGGCTGCTGTGCTGGCACTACTGAGGGAGGGAATCCTGGCATGCCTTCTCCTAACTGGTGTTGAACTGTTCAGATCTCCATCCATCAGCCAGTCCTGTGTTTGATGTGAAATGCAGCAGGCTTTGTTTAAACCTGAAACAATGAAGAGGCCACGTAATGCTCTAGCTGCTGCTCTGAGACATGAATGACTTATGTTGCCTGTGAAATCCAAGTGGGATTTAGAACTCAAAACATCCAGTCAACCTAGATGAGAACTCAGCAGCCAGTTCCAAAGATTTTTTAATAGCCCTCCATCCTTTTCAAGATTATACTGCCAAAGTGAGTGGAGTTGTTAACCAGGAGAATCCAGCCATAGACAAATGGAACCAGGAGAGTTAAGTTTTCAGCAGCACAAGCAATCCAGGTAGAGTTCAGCTGAATACAGAGGCCACTGCATGTGTCTCATACCCCAGTCTCAGGCTGGGTAAGTTTTAAAGATCGTAGTTGAAGCCACAAGTGACAGACAGAAATGACTCCAGTTCTGAGCACAAGTAGGGTGTAACATTCTTTGTTTCCCTTTCCTAAGGGTCACACCTCCTATGTCAGAAGTCAGCTAATGTGTCTCTTCTCCATAGGCTGGGTTTATTGGTTTGCTTTTATGATGACCTGGAACAGATGGATGCAGCTGTGGCCCGGGCTTTACTTCATCAAATGATTAAATGCAATCAACTGAGAGGTTTCCAAGCTGAGGTTCACAAGGTGGGTGTGGTATTTATTCTTCTTGCCTAACCTAACTCAGAAAACAGAGGAAGAGGGACTTTCTTCTTGAATAAGAGAAGAAAAGAGTGAATAACTGTGATCTAAGAAATAAGGGAAAATAGTTCTCAAGAATGTAAAGAATAGAAGTCCATTTTAGGTGCTCATTCTTTTGTCATTCTATTTTCTGCTGCTCCATATTCCTTTCACAACTGTGGTTCTATTTTTGAAATTTTATGAAGTGTGTGCTCACTGAATATTTGCCAATGACTATTCCAGAGACTCCAGTTAGTGTTTTGGGTGATAGTGGAAATTGGTTCTTGGCAGGTTTTTATTTCCCATCTGCTCTTTTTGTTTGCTTTAGCTCAAATCCCAACTCCTGAACATTGCCATGCAAAACCAGACATTGAATGATACCCTTGGATCTCTGTCAGATGCTGTGGTCGGACTAACTTCAAGTCAGCTGGAATCTCTGTCACCTGAAGCAGTGCATAATGCTATTGCAACATTAAACCAAGTCTCTGGCTGGGCAAAGAGCCAAGTTATGATTTTATCCAGTAAATACCTTTCTTATGAAAAGGTACCTTGTGATAACAGCTTTCCTACCTCCTGTTTTTAAAAATGAAATGGCTTTTTCTCAACAATAACCATAGATTTTGAAAAGTTAGTGGTCTGAAAAATGTGTTTAAATCAAATAAAAACATCCAAGACTGTACCTCCCAAAGTAATTTTCTAGTGTAACAGAGAGAAGGAATGTTTGTATTTGACAGTTGTGTATGTTATTTTGTGTGTGTCACTGCCCTAAGCAGAATTTGCATGATCAGAGATCCCAGACTGTATATTCAAATATACAGTAATGGAAGGAATCAGGGTCCTGCCAAAGTTTCAGAAAAAGGACCTTCTGGGAAACTTCACACATTTGCTCTCTGGACAGACACAGAAAGTGCATCCCCAGGCAAGAAATGTATTAAGTGTTTGACAGTAATAGTTTTTATTTATTTATTGACTTCTGCTTTTAAATATATCTGCTGTCCTCCAGCCAGAAAACTTCCTGTTTGTGCTGTTCTCTCTGCAGGTGTTATCATTCCATAATGTCAGTCAAATGGGTGCTTTGGTAACGGGCATCAGCACCCAGTCCCTGTACAGCATGAACCCAGGGGAGCTCTCCCAGCTTATTCGAGGCACAACATCCCAGCACTTGTCTGACTTATCTCCTGCCCAACAACAAGGGATCCTCAGGAAGGTGATGATGAACTCCAGTGCATAGCAGGTTCTCTCTGCACAAGAGCACAGTCACCAGCTATGCAGAGCACGATTTAAAATGTTGCCACCGAATGTGTGCTTTAGCTCAAAGGTTAACATTTCCAGAGGATTTTTTCTGAACACCACGTGTGTTTGGAAGGCTCTCTCTTGCTTATTTCCATTGCATTTTTAATACTGTCATGTTTTTCCTTTATCCTCTTAAGAGAAATATTACACAGTATAGAAAGAAGGGCAAATCCTGTAAATCTAAGCATCAGTTCTGAAATGCCATTCTGTGTTCCTCTTTTTAGATAGCTGCATCTGGAGATTTTTCTTCATCAGTCAAAGAGATACAAGGAGCTTTCTTTAAAGAAGTCTCTCTTTCTGGTTTATGGAAGCAGACTGGATATAGTTCTTCAGCAATGAAAGAAAAAGAACTAAGAAGCAGCCAGGTAAAAATTCTTATGCAGTTCCCATTCCCCTGCAATTTAGTATGATGGAAGAACTGGAAAAGGAACATAGGTGAAAGGAAGGAACTGCCTCAAATATATCTTGACATAAACAACCAGAGGGATTTCAGAGCCTAGGCAGCATTATGAAACAAAGCTATGGAAAGGGAAGCATTAATATGCTGAGTTTAAGTCCCCAAGATTCTGCCATGTAAATTTTCTCTTTCCAGTACTGTATAACAGACATTTGCATATACAATCAGCTCTTTGGCTCTGTCCAGAGAGATGAAAGTTTGGATCAGATGATCTCCAGAGGTCCCCTCAAACCCAAGTTATTCAGTGTCTGTGGGCCATGGCCAGGTTTAACATGATCCCATAACACCAGTCAGCCATGTCTTGCCTTGTGAAGAAGAAATTCAGCACTGGATGCCAAACCTCTTGTGGTTGGCCAGGCTGGATCATAGAAGTGCCTGTAGAGTACATAAGAGAGCTAAGAGTACATAAACCTTGCAGTAGTCATTGTGTCTTACAACTGGATTAACTAAACTTAACTTTAAGTATGGTGGCTTTTATTTCAGGCTTTGTATCTGTATGAATTACTGTCTAAGAAAAACTATCCTGTTGACCTTCTAAGGTATGGATTATAGTCTCCTTTGAAATGGGGTTTAAGACTAGTTTTGTCATAAGAGCAACTTCAAGGTAAACCATGCATGGTTATTTTGGACTGTCTTAAGTTTAGTCATTCCTGGATACCACAGGATAATTCACCTTCCTCATTAGAAAGGGTCTCCAAATCCAAAATCGGGCTCAAAGCATTGCAGAGGTTTGGCTATTTTAAGGCTTAGCTGGTATTTTTCAATTTGTTTGCAGTTTTACTTTCAATTTAGCCTTTCAATTACAAGAAACAGGAGAGAGAGGTGGCCAAGAAACTCTATCTTAGGGCAGGGTTGTGGGGAGCAAGGACTAGATCCTGCTTAAATATTCAAAAGATTGAAATTTGCTTTTCCTATCAGCACAGGACAGCTTGTGAAAGGAGTAACTTGTCAACTCATTGAAAGTATGGGCACAGACATATTTTTAAACAACTTTAAATTCTTTGAAATGAATCTTCATCTGCTTTCTCCATATCAGGTAAAACCAAAAAGACTTTGTCTAGATAAACATACTACCCAATATCCAAACTAGGTAAACTAGAATTTGGTTCATTCAATTTTCTTTTTACTTTCTTTTTTTTTTTAATCTTATCTGTGTCAGCTTGTCTGTTAGCATATTTTATTTAAATCTTTTATGTGTGAATTTTTCTGTTATCATACTTCATTTTGACAATTTCATTTGCCACTTACAAATTGCAAGAAATTTCTACAGCCCTTCTGACTTGTTAATTCATGAGTAATCTGTTTGGAAATATATAGAAGTTTTGAAAACATACAAATGCTCTCATGCACCCAAATATAGGATGCTTCATCTCTGATGTCTACAAAAAGAAAACTCTAAAAAAACCCAAAGAAAAATGCTCTCTGAAGATAATATGCACAGTTTTATGTATGCTAATTTATATGCTGCAATAAACAAGCCATGTTTTTATTCTTCCTCAAAATTGCCAGATGTTTAAGTTCCTAAATTTTTGTTGCTTTTAGGTTAATTGTTTAGCTTGGAAGTTTTGGAAGGTCTCCAATGCATCTATTCCTCCCTTCCTCTTACTGGTGCTTCCGTGAGTTACATCTTACTACATCTTAAGTTCTGAGCACTTTTTAAATAATCTCTTCAGTCCTAAGAAAACTGATGATTCAAAGAAATGGTAATTTATCAGAAGTGGTCACTGACTGTAGGCAAAGTGTCTGTCAAGTGAAAGCTGGTAATATTTGGTGTCTTTTAGTGTGGCCTATTTTTGTCACAATTCTGGATTTTTACCCCCTAGGTTGTGAGATTTGTTTTCCTTATTTATTTAGGGTTTCTTTGAGAGTCGATATATAAGTCAAAACCACTGGGTGCTGCTGAAGCATATTGCTCTGTATGGTTAAAAACATTTCAGTGTGTTTTTAAGACATTTTTCTAAGTTAGCAAAACTTTTCAGTGACAGTTTTTTCCTTAGGGAAAACAAATGTACAAAAAGGGCATTACAGTAAGATGAGGATTAATTGCAACTTTTCTGGCCTGTCCAGTTTATGATTTTTCAAGTCCAGCCTTGTCTCTCAATGTTTGTGTCATCACAGATTTTATGGGTATGGTTATGGGTATATGAAGGTCAGGTTTGCATTCTGAGACTCTTTGAATTCTTTCTGCAGTTCTGAGTACCTGGAGTTCGTTTCAGGCCCTTTGTGTGTCCCTTTCATTGAAAGTCTGGGGAAGACTGAAATGGACCTTTTGAATCCAGGCCATCACAAAAGGAATGCTGTCCTGCAAAAAGTACAGGAGTGCTTGGTGGGTATGGCTGGGAGGGGGCAGCAGTGGAGGAGACACCACGAGGATGGAGAGATTCACCTTCTACATAAGTTCTTGACTTACCCATCTGTATTCTTTTGGGGTTTTTTTCATGTACTGTTTCGATATTATTGTTCACTGCCTGAGGAAACCTTTTTACAGCTTCCTTAAAAATTTTCCTTGACTCCATCCATGTTACAAAGTGTTCTCATGAAATGTCGTTGCTGACCACGGATAACTGGCCAGGACAGCCTGGAGCTGACCAGTTTGCAGCTGGAGCTGTTCCCCTGGCTCCCAGCAGTGCCAGTCCTGCAGAGCTGTGCATGGCACAGGAGGCTCCATGGGAGAGATGTTGCTAGCAGGAGGATTTGGGACTTCTGCTGTCAGGGGGCTGCAGCACTCACCAGCTTTTAAGGGAAACTTATTCTTTGATGTAGCTGTGAATATTCCTGTCCTTACACATACTACCAGCTGTATAATCCCTGGTGTTTTGGCAGCTGCTTGAGAAACCCCTCAGAGCTCAGCCTTCTGACAGCAAGAGCTTGGGGCCCCTTTGCTGTGAGGGGCCAGGTGAGGGCTGTGCTGCCAGGCAGAGCTGCACCACCTCTGCAGGTGTGGGGGGAGTTCACATTTTCTATGTGTGCTTCAGTATGGAATAAAGAATAATGAGAGCCCTGAGAAGTGCTTATTAAATATCACCAATTGCAGTGCTAAAACCAAAAAATATAAGGCAGTCTAAGCAGAAATCGTAGATGAAGTTGCCAGTGCAAACTGTTATGTCTTTGTTCCTTAAAGGGTCACAGAGCTTAAATGAGTTGTGATGCAGGGCAAGAGCCAAGGTTAGCTCTGCCAACGGGGTAAATGCTTCTCGTTTCAGAACGGCTCTGTGGCTGATGAATATGATGTTGACCTACTTGGAAATCTAATCTGCCACTTACCTCCAGCCTTTCTACAAGGCAGAGTGTCCCTGAAGGCAATGGCAACAGCCCTCCATCAATTCAAACTCTGCCAACAGCTCAGCCACGAGCAGAAGACTGAAATTAAATACAAACTCCTTGAGTTATATGGGTAAGGTATTAAATACACCACTTTGCTCTTGCTGATGGTCTGGCCATGCAGATACCAAGCATTTGCTTTGCCCAGATGAACTGCAGTGAAAACAGCACAAAGCAGCTTCTGTCACTGGCCAAGCTTGGGGGCTTGTCCACTAGAATGACATTTCTGTTCTTGTGTGTAACGTGATAGGTGTGGAACAAAATACAACCCCAGGGACACTCTGCATGACTCAAGTCCCAGAGGAAAAGGAGAGAAAGTGTAAGGAGGGGCAGGCAAACAGGCTCACTGGCCTGGCAAGAGAAAGGGTGTTACAGGCAAAGAATGGCCCAGGAATGCAAAGAATGGGAAGATGGAAGTGGGATACTCAGTGTGAGAAGACAAGTGAAGAAGACTGCAAGCACTGTGGCAATAGGAGAGAGCTAGGGAAGAAGCAGAGGGGTATAAATTCAACCATCTGAAGCAAAAAACTGGGCAGCATGTTGGGTGTCACTTGGGTGTCACTAATGGCTCTGATTAGGAGGGCGATTGGAACCACGCTATGTATCAGTCATGCAAGGGACAAAGCCATCCTCTGTCTGGCAAGAATACACTGTTTCTCTCTTGCACTGTCTCTTAGAAGTATCTTGCATTTGAAAAGGGAGACAATGCATAGTTTCTAACCATCCCCTCAGACCCAAAGGCTGTCACTTGATCCACCTAATCATGTTAGATGCTCGTTCATCTTCCTCCTAAGTCAGCATTTTCCTGGTGATAGAATAGAAATATCTTCCACCAGATCCCCTCCCTGCATTGATCTTGATACAGATCAATTTTATTGAATCATGGCACACTGTGCTAAATAAGATTTTACTTTATTTTGTATTGGGTTTTTTTGGAAATATTTGTCCAGTCAAACATCCTCCTAGTGGAGCAACAAAGCAAATAAAGTTTTCTGTGAGAACATAAGCTAGTAACAGATTTGTTACTGTGTCCTATAGGCTTTTCCAGGCTGAAAATTACTTATCCAAGTGCCTTATTGTCACCCACCAAGTGGGTTGACTAACATTTGTCAGCTCTGTATGATGCTTCTCTTTTGATACCATTTTGCACGTTACTGCTGCTGCAGTATGAACCTGACAGAAAATGGTAAATTTTCTTTCAAAAAAAGAATTATTTCTCCTTGCTTGAACACTGTAATGCAAAAAACACTATGGCTGTTGAGGGAGAGCTCCATTTCTGCTGTATTTGAAGGCTTTCTCTGACTGTATTGAGAGTTCCACTAATGCCCTTTATATCACAGAGAGATGAGAAAATGCAAAATGATGCTAATAACAATGAATCATTACGTTGGCATAGAAATGTCTGTGTTTCCTATATGATAAAGTAGATAAAAACTCTGAAGTTTTAGTATCATTTTGATTGTAAACATTCTTCATTAATATAATTTTTCAAAATATTTCTTCAGCTCCTCAAACAACTGGACAGCAGCAACAACATTAGATGTTGGACCATTCATAGCTCTTCTGTCAAAGGAGGAATTAAATGTCCTTGCTGAAAAGGTATGCTTTTGTTATAACTTTTAAATTCATAAAAGATGTTAAAATTTGAATTCGTGAATGTCACAATGCAATCCAAATCATATAATCTGAATGCTAAACTAGGTAAATAATTCTCCTGGCAAGGAACCCTGTGTTAATGTTTCACATGTTCTTGACTCCATCAAAAATTTCTGAGATTTCTTCTTGAGGGTAATGTCAGTATAAAGGATTATTTGCACGTGAACAGTGATAATTGTACATTGTCACATAGAAAAAATGGGTCATTTATAGTGACACAGACTCATTTTTAGTACTTTACACCTTGCAGTTTTGCTTCCTCCATTCCCTTGCCTTCCAGCCATAAAAGTTACATTTCTTATCCTGTTATTAATGGAATCATATGGATCAAATTAGCATTTACTCACATGGCCCTTTGCCCCAGGTCCAGTGTAGCACATGAATGATAACTGATGGACTCAGCATTGCACTTTGGAGTCTCTTTGCCCTCTTTAGTTCCTACAAGCTTAAAATTTTTATGTATAGGAGTAAACTATACTGGAATGAGGAATTCATTCTTCAGCAGAAATATGTGAGCACAGTCAGCAACTTTTCCACTGGAGGTAAAACTTATAATTGACCAAATAGAACAGGACTCTTCAAAGGAAAGGAAGGTGTCCAGCAGGGTGGAGGAAAGAGCTCAAAAAAAGCCTGAAGAAGGCAAACAGGTCAAAGTTATTTCTCATCATTTAATTGGGTCCCTATCCTCAATTCTTACACTTGTCTGGCAAATTTAAGACAAACAAAATAAAGCCCATACAGAATAGTGAAATTCATTGTTCCAGGAGGGTCCGGACACAGACTCCAATCAGGCAGTGCTCAGGTGTTGCCAGAAACTGAGAGAGCATCCAAGAGAGAGAATCACTCAGAATTTGCTTTGTTTCTAATTTTTTCCCCTCAAATGTATGCTGTTGACCTTTCAGTAGCGGCCAATTTACTCTCTTCTGAAACATCTGCACAATAGGAAGGAGGCTGAGCTGTTACTAACCCCTGATTTGCTAAGGTCTGCACAAGTCTTTCTCTGCCAAATTGGTTTGTTTTAAAAGGGAGAAAGAAGACTTATTTCTTTTTTTTTTTCCATTTGAAGTTCCCAGACATCATTTTACAAATAGCAAAGACAATTGGACCAGTTTCTTCAGCTGAAGAGCTTTTATCAACTGTGTTTCAGTCTGTCTCCAATGCCACTGCCAACACCCCCTCATCTCTCACCACACCTGGTCAGTATTTGCCTGGTATCTCTGTAAAGTGCCTGGTTCACAGTGGGGCCATTTGGGGCTGTGGTTGTGCAATTCAAACAGACTTTGTTTCACTTTGTCACCAAATGCATTCCGAGAAGCTGAATAATAAAAAAGAAAGCATTGAGTAACTTAGAAGAGGTTCAGACTTTTAGCAAAAGCAGTGAGAGTCTTCATTCTGTTGCCCATAGTTGTATGATGCATTGACTAATTGCTGAAACACTTAATTTCATTACAGGATTGCACAATTAGGCATCTCCTGGAATGATTCTGAGTGCACAAAGGAAAAAAAGATGAATTATTTGAATTAGAGAGTTTTGTTTATTTTTACTTTTTTTGCTTATTTTTACTTTCCTTTGTAATCTAAGTAAAAATCCTCAAATTAAAAGCCTGTGAAGGTGACAAGTTACCCCTGTGTCAAAAGATTGCACGTAGTTAATCCTTTGCCAGACATGAGCATATGGTGACTCGTCTGTTCCTAAATCTGACAGTGGTGGCACTGTGTTTTTTCTGTCCAAATGGACAAAGTTTGTTATCATTTAAAAGGTATTTTAATTAGCAACCACACTAATCTATCAGAATCTCTGGTGACAAATGGATCATTTTCTTTGGATAAGGTACATGATCTGGCTATATTCCTTTATTACAATAAATGTATTCTTTCTCTTACCTGAAATACTTGGGAGCTAATACTAATAACAGTAGCAATTACCAGTGACAGAGTTCTTACATCCATGTCCACATCAAGATAAAAACAAAGGTAGTGCTTGAGGCAAGATGGAACATGCAAGGCAAAACTTCGAAATTGTGTGTCCAGAGTGCTACCAGAGAGCAGTGCCAGTGCTGGAGAAAGAATTCAAGTTTCTCACCACAAGCACTGAGATGTTATAATATATAGATGTTTTTCATCAAACTAAATTTATATCAAAAGGAAGACTGAAGTAGCATCAGATCCAGGAAGCAAAGTCAGAAGTCTAATTAGTGTTTCCCTCTGTGGTCACACCAGTGTACCTGGTGTGTTACAAATAATAAAATCAACGGTTTTTCCGAGGACACGAAGTCTCAGGTTTTCATGACCTGGGGAAGGGAGCTGCACTGGGCCTGGATAGGCAGTATTTACGTGAGAAAAGCTGACCTTTTGCAGCAGGGGAAAGGGAAACAGGGCAGCTGCACAAGAGGGAGGTGTAAAGGGAGAGCGGAACATCAGCTGGTACAGTGGGAGCTGAACTGCATTTTCGTTTGCTCAACAGATTCAATCTTTTCAGTGTTCTATCCACTGCTGCAGCTTCCTTTGATGCAAATAAATCCCTCCTCTGCCTCCTTTCAAAGTACAAATGTACTTTGTACATCCTCGCTTTAATTTATTTGTCTGGGAGAGCTTAGCTCAGGCACAGCATCTGTGAAATTCATGCTTTTTACTGGTAATGGCCGTATCTGAAGACATGTAGGGATTATTTGGTTTAGATAATTATTTAATAAGGTTTTCCTAAATGAGTGACAGGAGAGAGAGAGAGAGCAGTAAACAACCACATTAGGATTCTAATTTCTGCTTTCCATCAACATTAGAGGTAGATTATGCCAACAAAGACCAGGATTTGTTAAAATACACAATGGAAACTGTCTGGTTTGATCATGAATAGGGCCAGAACCTGCCTGTAAATAAGATTTCTAAAGGCAGTTTGTCTGTCCAAACAGTTCTGTGGTGAGTGAACAGCCCTCTCCAGATCCTGACATTTTAACAACAGGCTTTGACATAAAGAACAAGCAACTGTGCTTCTCTGACACATCCAGCTCCTGTCTGCACCTTGTTTAAATGTCAGGCAAGTCTTACAAGACATACATCTTTGTCAGGGCGTTTCAGAGTAAAAGCACCTCTCCTGTCTGTTACATTGCTGGTGGATTCACTGTTGGAACGTGGAGCTCATTCAGCTGCAGCAGTTTTTGGTGAATTTTTGGAGGCTTCCACGAGGGTCATCCCAAGGATTTGCATTTCACTCTTACTGAAGCAAGGCCCCATTTTACCTCAGAATAAGCCTGGGTTTTGATGCCTTTAAGGAATTAGACTTGAAAGAAACTTGCACTACACTGGTTATTCTCATTGCAAACGTCCAGAATTTAGTCTTATTCTGGCATCCTGCATTGTAACTGTTCTGAAATACATGTCTGCTGTTATTTTCTTGTCCAGCCTTTGGAGTGTAAAGAATATAATCAATTTCTTGCAAGTTAGGGAAATTCTAGTTTTATATCCAGGACATTAGGAATGTAAATATTTTTTTAAATATTTCATTACAGAACAATTAATTTATCAATATCATATCATAGTCTGTCACTCTCTTATATATCTATATTGATTCAATTTATTTTTTCAGTCTCCTTGAAGAAAACTTGCTATTTGACTTTTTTTTTTTCCAGATTGCCTGGGAACCAGAGTTCCTTCTTCAGACGAAATAATTAAATTAGCAGAAGCAAATATCTTTTGGTCAGATCAGGAACTGAAATGCATGGACCCAGGGACTTTTGACAAAAATGTGGAACTTCTTGGGACTGTCTCAGGTTTTAACAACTCCCAGCTTACTGCCTTGAAGGAAAAAGCCAAGCAGGTAACTATCCTGTCTGTGAAGGGAAATTAAATCTGTAATTTGATTTGCTCTTATTGAACTATGCAGTTCTAAAATAACTGTGCTATGTCAATGTCACTGCTGCTGCAAGAATATCTATGGTTTATTGGAAAAATAATATGAGATGGTGATAGAAGACTATTGCTCTTGCTTCAGAGTCAACAGGCAAGTAGTTCTGAGCTATTGGCAGCTGGAAAAGTTAAATGTTTTTACTTTTGAATTAGTTTTCTGTTTGTTCCTCACTTTTGTTTCATAAATGAAAAATCAGCAAGCAGCACTAGGGGCTGTTGATTGCCCTGCTGGGAGTTCAGCTTGGCATGTTAAACTGTCTACATCGGTGTTAAATATAGCTTACAGTGGTGTAAAACCAAACCGACTGAAAGAGACTGCTATTAGCTGAATAAAGCTCGTTCTCCCACCTTCTTGTCACAGGCAGGGACAGACAGACCCATCTGTGGGAAATTTTAGGGAGAAAAAAGACCCCAACTGCAGTCAGTCTGTCTTTTCTGGGAGCGCACTCGGGACGGGGCTGTGCTGGGGGCAGGTCAGCAGTGTCTGTGTCTGGGGCACAGCACCAGCACAGTGTCTGGGCTCTGAGCAGCCCTGCCTTGGCCTGCTGTGGGCTGGGGAAGAAGTCAGAGCTTGCTCCATGCCTATTGTTGATGTTGCACTTCTCCCTGGGGGTGACCAGGAAAAGCCTCAGGGTGCAGTAAGACAAGTTGTTTTGGTCGCAGGAGACCCAGGGGTTGAAGAGGTTACCATCCCTAGCCTGTCTTCAGCTTCCTGTCACCAGCATCTGCTGGAGGTTATCTGCTCTCTGCTTCCATCTCTTCATGACCACTCTGTAATCCCCTTCTGTCAAAATGATCCAACATTTCAAAAGTCCTTTTTAGGTTCCGTCAGATCATTCTGACAGAATGAGGTTGGGGAGCATCTACAAGTGCAGTTGGCTGCAAGTAGTACAAGTGCAGAGGCTTGGAGATCTTGAGGGATGTGACCTCTGGAGGAAAGCAGGAGCAGGGGACAGCTCCTTAAACCAGCAGCTGCAGCCACAGTAGTGGAGCTGAAAATGGACTTTGGGTAGGTAAGGCCAACAATGCAATTTTTAGCAGTGAAACTCAGCTTTTAAAGCACCAGAACTGTAGATGCTTGAAGAGAAGTGGCACTGACCAGATTCCCAAAGCAGATGGTGACTCTGCAGTTGTGTCTCTGCTGCCTTGCTGCAGTAGGACAACAGGCATCAAATGCATCCTTCTCAGAAAGCTTCCCTCTGTCAGCACAGACGTGTGTAGAAAAAGGGGAAAAAATGTAATCCCAGAAGGAAATTAAAAAAGTGTTCCACTGAGATAGTGGGAACTAAAATATTTTACAGCACTGCAACATATTGGTGTATTTACAGAGTTGTATCTGTTGTAGGGAAATTGCCAGCAAGGTTAATACCCTCACATTCTGGCTCTATTCAGTTCAAAGGTACACAGAGCTCTAGGGCACTAAATGGAATTATATTCTGTGTGTGAGTGTTTGTAAGACAGATTGCTTTTAGGCTAAGGCAGACTTCCTATATATTAATTTGCAAAATGCAACATGGTGTTACACTGAACGTGAAGCATCAGAAATCAGACAGTACAGGCAAAGCTCTTTGAAATTATGTGCTGTTATGTTATTAACTAAAGGGCATCTTTGATTAAAGGTTTCATTAAGCCTGCTTTAATTTCTTCTAAATTGATTGATTTCCCCTAAAAGAAAATGCATACTCTACTCATTGTTCCAAACTAATACAAGAAGTCTAGATATCAGATTGTGTCTTAATGAAAGTAAGCAGCTTAGCTCACTTGTAAGTGGAAGGTCTCCCAGCTCTGCAATAGTGACAGATGTATGGATCTGTGGTGCCCAGGTGAATGAGGACAAAGGAGTGTTTCAGTTTCATGTGTTGTGTTATTTATATCGATATGCCTGAGAATTTACCCAGCACTGTCAGATAATACTATTTATGAAGTACTTCAAACCCTGCAGTTGATGACCTAGATCAGGACAGAGACACAGGACATTTTTTCCTGCATGTGTTTCCTGTATCTCTTCAGCTAGAGAATTAGGAGCTTTAAAATTGGGCTAAAGCTTTTTACTATCTATTTTCTTTGGAAGAGATTGACATTTCCCAGGCTTAGATCCTTTGTGTGTTTCTTTATGACATCGTAAAACCAACATAAAAGGTCTGTGGAAACTCAGTTGGGAGGTGCGGGTCCAGCAACGTGTCTCTTAAACAAATCCTTAACCTGAGGGTCACAGTTGGGAAAAGCACCTCGGCAGCCCTGATATGCACCTTGGTATGAACAGCAGAGAGTCTGCACCTCTGTGTAAGGAGTACTTAATTCCAGAGATTCAGATTCCAGAGCCCTGCTTCTATATTTTATGGAGGTTGTACAAATTCATAAGTATCTGGAGGTGCAAACACTCTTTAGTAGGCAACTGCAGATACTCTTCAGTGAGTCCTTACTAGCTCTGTCCTTTCTAATTTTTTGGACAAAACTTAAATTGTAGCTATCCTGAAAATGGAGTAAATATTGTCATGAATCAGACAGCATGAACCACCAGCTTAGCCCAGCATTGGGCTTTTATTTTTTATTTTCTAAGTGAAGTTAGAAGCACAGTCTTGTACTAGAAAACTGTCATGTATTGACTGACATAAAGGAGAGTTGCTGAAGTACATGGGAGCTTTAAAGTGAGCTTTTTTTTTTCCTTTTTTAAATTATGCCTGTCTTGTTCAAGTCAATTCCTCCAGCCAAAACCCAGTGTCTTTTTCTGTGAAGGCAATTGGCCACATCCGGAGAGACACTGACCACCGACTACCGTCTTCTGTCATTGCCAACTAAATGTAACTGATAGTTCTGGCCTCTGAAAGTTCAGTTCTTGATGGACTTTTTGTATTGTTTATTCAGGCAGACCTTTTCTGAAATCAAAATTTCCTTAGGGTTGATCTGTGACAGCTTTTCAATCACTGCAACTTTACCGCAGATGAAGTTAAAAGCGGGGGAACTTGTCCATTTAAATACACTGGTACTGATTTGGAAGAGGCCCTGCTTATTTCTTTCATTTTTCACAAAGCTTTATAAGTTTAACTGTATCTGTACAATCACATTTAAGTTATTTTTTATTTTAATGTTGTATGAACACAAGTGAGAAATCAGAACTTTAGGAACTGGCTATTTATCTGTATTACCCAATTCTCCACTTTGATTTCTGCTTTCTTTGTCAGTGACTGAGCCGTGGTGACTGGTCACAAAAGCAATTTAAAGTCAGTTCCCTGGAGCGATAGCAGCTGGGTAGAAGCCTGGGTAGTCCAGATACTGCTTTTGTGGTAGCAGTGTAACAGTGTGGATCTAGGCACAGATTCCCATTTTTATTGGTTTTAGTGGTTTTGCTCCTACAGCCACACTTCCAGCAGTCCCTGTTCTGACTTATCAACAAGGCCAAGCTGTAAAAATTGCAGCATTTTTAGATAAACTAAGCATAATTGGTGTAGAACCTCAAAAACCTTCACAATACCTAAGCTCTGCCTTTTGTGTGCAACGAGGAATACTGCAGGTTTTGTGACTTTTAAAACAAGGGGTTTGAGAATGGTGTATAGAGAGGAAGACTCCTAATGACCTAACAGACATTAATTAATCTCTTCTAAAGGTTTGGGGGTTGCTACCTGACTGGAAGAGTTACCACATTGTCTCCCTGGGCCGCATTGCTCTGGCCCTCACTGAGCACGAAATCCAAGAGCTGGATTTGCATTCCATCGACACTGTTTCTGTACTTAGTCAGCAAACAGAGTGGACTCTTACCCAGGTAAGTATCTTATTGAATGTACTCCTGGTGAAGGGCTCTGGCTTCACGCCCTTTGGGACTGAAGTCCTGGAATGGCCTAGGAAACAGATCCAGGGACCCACACTGCTCCCTGCTGCTCTCCTGCAGCTGGGACCCTGGTGGAAGTGGGCAGGTAGGTCAGCACTGGTGTCTGCCTGGTGCTGGCTGCCCTGGTGAGGTGGCCAGAGCACATCAATCACTGTTAACTGGGGTGCTGACGAGTGTGTTCTTTAGCACTTGCCCACTAAGTAGTAGAAAGAGGTCAGCAGCTCCTCTCACACTGGCCCTGGAACAGACACTACAGCTGGGAGACACCAGTCCTTCCTAACTAAAGTAACCACTGCAGAGGTAGTGTGCTCTCAACCCCAGCAACCATTGCTCTAGATCCTGTTATTAGCAAATATGCTCCTCTCATCTTTCTTTCCTCGAATTCTAGTTATGTCAATGGAACTTTCAAGTAAGAGTTAAAAGCTTTTATTTGTATATGCAATTAGCAGCAGCAGATTTCTGACTTTGTGGCCCTTACCATCAGGGTTCTGTGGTTGCATAGTGGCAGTTTTGGCAGAATATCACAAATCTGTTTAATAGATTCTTGTTCTGAAGAGCATCATCCGAAGGAAGCACTTGGGAGGATTTTATACAATATCAGTTTTCTTTTGAAGTTTCCTGCTGTCAGTAAGAATAGCTGGTTAAGGGATCCTGCCTACCTTCAGTTGTCTAAAAGTCAGGCAGCTACTTTAAGCTACTCATTTGAGGCTCAGCATTGTGGATAGATAAGGAAATCTTGGAAGATGCTTGTTTCTTCCACTGACTTTGGAGGATGCCTTTGGCTTGAGCTAGACTCACAGTTTTTAAATGGTTAGTTTAGGATGAGCACAGTTCTAAATTACTTTGGCTTGCAAAGGCTCTTTGATACCAACATCCCATTCATATCTGAAAATTAATCTTAAAGAGAGGTCACCACCTATATATGACACTTAAATAAGACAAGGCAACCTGAATATTAAAACAAATAAAAACTACATATTGATCCCATTAGTATTATATGTTTTCTTCTAGCAATTTAACTGATTTGGGCATTTCTGCTGGCAATCCAATGCCCATTTCTTCTGGTGTAGGGTTTCCTTGTGACCTGGCAGAGGAGGTACAGAGTGTTTTCACACCATTTGTAGTTGGGAAGTGGTTGTGTAACACTGTCCTGTTTAAGTGTCACATATAGGTGGTGACAGTGCTCCTCCTGAAGGCCGTGGCCATACACTGGGGAGGCTCAGGATATGTATTTATGCTCCAGAGCTTCTGGGAAGATCTGAAGCTTCTAATAACAAAACTTTCCATTCTATTTGCTCTGTTCATGCTTACTGTCTTACTGCTTTTGTAGGCAAGATCTATTTTGGAAGGGTTTCTAGAAGACTCTGGCCAGACCATCAGCACACTAAAAAGCTTTGATTTAGTTGGATTAGGAGCTATTCTCTGTGCTTTGAACTCCACAGAAATCATGTCCATAAGGACTGCTGAATTCAGGTACTGCACTTTATACTTAATGAAATATTTATTAGTGTCTCTATTGATAAAATTTATTGTCCCATTTTTGTTCTGTCAAGATTTTCAGAGCCCAAAGGACACCATTTTACATTTTAAATATTTTTAGAAAGGCAATAACTGTTATGGACGGCATACAGCAGTTGTTTAAAACATGTTCTATTTTAGGTTTCCGCTGCCATTTATATCCCACTATTTAAATATTGCATTGAGAAATCCAGGATTTTGCTTAAAGCCTTAAACTTTTGTATGCAATTTGTGCACATATATTTTAAATTGACAATTGGGTTCAACAGTCATCTTACAGCAGACTATGCATATTCCAGGCATATTTAGCACTGCATGTTGACTGCAGCATGTAATGTTGCCCTTGTTGCCTTTTGCAGTGCTGCAGTTGCAAGAATTGGCCTGTTGGTTTGTAGCACCCCTGTTCTGAGGCAGTTTAAGAAGATGACAGAGTCTGTGTTTGGTGCCGCTACCAGCTGGAATGGCTCTGTCTTACAGGAAATTGGTACTATAGCAGGTAACAAAATTCAGGCTCCAGATGGTGTTCGTTGTGAAGTCTTGTTATTCAGCGTTAAGAGACAGGTTCATGTAGCAGTGAGTTTTTCTAGACTGGCAAAAGACATTTCTTCCAGAGAGGAGTCACCTGCAGGGATGGACATCCAGCAATTTCATTAGCAATAAGGAAAAGTCGTGGTATTCTCCATAGGGTTCTCTCTCATCCAGTCAAACTGACCTTGGGAAGCACAGCCTGAAGTCTCTTGGGTCCTGTAAGTTGGAAGGGGTAAATCAAAGAAGGCAAAACCAACCAGGATTCCAGAGACACTCTTTGTGCACCAGGCTGCTGCAGGAGTGGCTGCACTGGGTCAGAGCAGTGCTGACACAGCATCCTGCCTCCAACAGGGGAGAGAATGGGCTGCCCAGGGAACAGCAAAAGGGCAGGACTGGCCTGCAGTGACACTTCTCCAGAGTGCTCTCACAGCCTCGGAGGCTCCCTGAGCCAGGGGTCACACACCATTTTGTTCATGGATTTGTTTCCCTGTGATCGTTTAACTGCACATTGAACTCCCATAAATTTTAGCATCCCCGATGCCTGTGGCAATGATTCCACACTGGAACTACCTAATAGGTGAAGAAGTAGCTCCCAGTGCATGATTATGCTCCCTAATCTTGCATCAGAAGGGGCTGTAACAAACATTCACTAATAACACTGTTTATTATTTTATTGACTTTAATCATTCTCTTTTCCAAGATAAAATAACTTGGGTAGAGCACATTCCATACAATGTTTAAGGTCAGATGATTTGTAATGTTGAAAGATAATGAAAAAAAAAAACCCCAAACAAAAAGAGAACCAGTATCTCTCTCTATAAAGCCCTGTAATAAACTATTTATTAGATATTTTGTATAAATGCTTAAAACTTGTATTAGCTTAAAAAATAAATCTAATAAAAAGAACATTAACTGAGTTTTATTCCTATGGTTTGGGTTTTCTAGGTGGTTTGAATGAGGATGAATTAAAAGCTTTTGATAAAACCTTGATGCCGTATTTCCAGCCAGCAGCAGTAAGACATATACCTCCTGAAATTTTCCAAGTAAGAGCTCTGTTATGAAGAAGTGACTAAATTTCTATCATTTTTACTCTACTATAAATAAACTGCAGCACTGATTTATAGGTTTTGGGTTTCAGCAAAAATTTCTCTATGGTCTGTTAAGTGAGAGACCATCAAGGATCTGAAACATTAACTTTGAGCTGTATCACCTGTACTTGTGATGAAATATGCTGGACAAGCTTTATTTATTATTCAGAATGCATCCCAAAGAAAAAGCAGGGAACAGACTTTCTTTTTAGCAGTATTGTATTCAAATCAGGGTTTTCTTCTCTGTTTATTAACGTTTGCAAGGGTGCTTTAACAGCTACAAATTTCTCTGCTGAGTGTGTAAGAGCTGTTTTATTAACCTAAAATCTGGCAGCATTCCACTGAGTTAGCTCTGACAAAACAGATTGTACAGACAGATACAGATCGGAAAGGAATTACATCTAATTACAGCAGTTCTGAATGTGGACCAGAAATTAGAACAGGGATCTTGAGATCAGTGCCCCAGACTTTATTTGACTTAGTGACAAGATTAATATTCTGCCTAGGCTGGTCTCTCTCAGATGCTCAGGCAAGCAATGTACTTATGGGCAGATGAACTAAACAGATAGTTAACTGTGTCAGCTCCCATAAAAGAGAAAACCTCCTTGAACACTGACTGTTCTGCACAGCACCACTGACAGTTTAGATAAGCCTGAAATGCCCTTAGTGAAACTATTTCTTTGAAAAACAGATCTATAGCATCTTGTAGAGTTTCTATCAAATAGCAGAGATTTCTGTTTGTGAGAGTGGTAATGATACTACAAAAAGTGCTTAACAAATAACAGGGCACCTTTTTGGAAGAGTTTTCTGTGTTTGAAAGATTCAAAGCAGATTTTGGTTTCACATAGGTTTTGTATGGCTTCCTTTTGCAGCTGTATATATTATTCAGATTTTTATTAATGAAAAATTGCATTGTATTATGGACTTTAACTGAGTTAAGAGGAAGCTCAATTCAAAATTGGACCTGTAGGTATTGACATGAATTTGCTCAGTTTAAACGAGCTCACTTTTGGCAGACAATGAAAAATGGGCAAGGATTTGCTCCATCATCTGACCTACTTGGAAGGGGAATTTTGTCTTCCCAAAGTAGAACCTGGATGCAGAATTGTTGCAGGAAAGAAGGCTTGTTGTGTAGGAGGGTTAAAATGCTTATGACTGCAGAATGTTAACTAGAAGCAAAGCAATCCAGCATGCCCAATAATGCAAACTGGGTAATTGCTATGTGATATAATTACTGTAAGATTATGATTGCCATGTTTAATTTTTAAATTTAATATGACCAAACTGGGAAGATTTTCAATCTAAAAGAGAAAATTGGATAATGAGATTAAAGCATGGGGTTTTTTCATCTCATTGCTCTACTGCTAACTATAATCAAAGGTCAAATGTCGGTTCAAGTGAGGTTGCTCAGGAGCAGATGTAAGAGGAAGCAAACAAAAACACAAGAGGATGCACAATGCCATCAGTCTTTGAGCAAAATCAGAAAAGAAATGGCTGGAAAATTAAACTCCAACAAAATATTGAAGAAATGTCCAATACAGTGCTGGCATAGAAAGCTGCTCAGGCTGTCAGCTCCCAGCATCAAAGAGAAAAGTGAAAGATAGATGAGTGGTCAGGGAAGTAAATGAATACAGAGGATTTTTTTAAGCTCTATTGAGCTCTTTTATAGCAACACAATGTTGAAGGCTACTGTCCCTCATTCCAAATGCAAGACTGTGCTGACTTCTGATTCCTTACCTGCCTTCTATAATTGACAGCCTAAACCAGTTTTTCTGTCTTTTATTCCTCCCAGGCATTGTCCCCAGAACAAATAGCAAACCTGGGCCCCGAAAATGCCGCCATGGTTACGGGATCACAGTGGGAGCATCTGGATGCATCACAGCTCCAGAGCCTGAGGCTGGCGCTGGACGGAGCCAGGACCAGCCCCCCCGAGGCACAGAGCAGTGCAGGATCCACCCAGGAGGTGCAAACCCCAGCTCCAAGTGGTGAGTGGAGTCTCTCCCTCCTCCTGCTCAGGGGAAGGGCATACACCAGTGGGGTGTCTCAGCATCCAGCAGGGCCAGACCTCTATTGTGAAGGTGGGTTACAGGGAGTTTACTAATCAGCTTTTTCAGTCATGCCTCAAAACAGAGGCCTGACCAAGACAAACAGCCAGGACATTGTTGGACTTACCCAGAGCACGAGGTAATGGAGGAAGGCTGTCAGATGGCATTAGCAGCTCTCTGCTGCTGGTAGCATTACACTGTGCTAAGCACTAACTTATGTAAAATGGAGTCTGAAACAGTGAGCTTTTCCCTCTCCTTCCTTCCCATATTCTTTGCCTAAATTTAAGGCAGGACTCTCTGTCTCTGGCCTTCAGGGCACAACCTTTACCTGCAGCACAACATTGTTTGCAGAGCTGCAAGAGTTCCCTTGCAGGAGGTAGCATTGGGGTGGATTAGCATCTTTATCCAGACTGTAGGACCCACTGAATGTTTTTTCCTGCGGTCCCCATCCTATTTGGAATTAAAGCCTATTAGCACTGTGCTTCAGAGGTTTAACCTCTTACTTCTCCATATTGCAGTTTATACGGGGCAAGTTACACTGTTTAATGGGTGTGTTACAGTGAGGGAGAGTGTGCACATAGTCAAGCCAAGGCTGAGAAATTATCCCTGTCAGACAGCAAATATTGTTGTTTCCTGTGACACCAGTGAGACATAAACTGTTGAAGAAGAGAGAGGGAAGCTGAAGTGCTAAAACAGGAGTGAGGGGAAATAAATTCCTATGATGCCCTTGCTGGAATTAGAGCAGAGCTTCCCGGAAGCACCTGGAAGGTGCTCTCAGCCCAGCTCCCTCCCACAAGTGACCTGTTCCTCCTGGAGATATACCAAAGGGAGGAGTTTCCTGGGTAAAAACAACCTGAGTTCTTGAGCTTCTTGTTCACTGTTGCTGTCTCTAGAGAGTACCACCCTATGAAATGCTTCTTTTTGGAGGTGTGGATGTTAAACTGGAAGTTGCAGTTCTGGCCAGTGATGTCTTTTGAGCAGCTGAATGCAATGAGGATTCAGCTGGTGGAATTTGCTGCACTTCTTTGGGGTGGTGTAGATAAGACTGTACTAGACCTGAACTTTAGCGTGACACTAAGACATAATGGTTTCTGCCTTCCAGGTGCTCCTTGTTTGAGCAGCTTTGGCATCTGGTGGTGTGCTGTGTTTGCACTGCGCCTGCCTTTCTGAACCCACGATTGTGAATCTTGAGGTAAGTTATATTTTCAGTAAGAGGTAACTTTAGAACAGAAGTATCATTCACCTGTAACAGTGAAGAAGGACGGTGGGACCCTCTTCTTGCTTTGAATACAGAGATAACAACGTCTGAATGATTTTTCTGTATTACAAAGGTGTCTTGTACCTCTGTTAGACTATCTCTGAATCTAATCAAGGGCAAAGCACTTTATCTTATCTTTATTGTAAAGCCAAACATAACAAAAGTATATTTAAAATTCCATGTAACACCAATCCATTACTGCATTGTTATTTGGCACGTGTTCTTGGTATTAATCTGGTTTGCCTGCTCCAGTCTATTTATAAGACTTTATTCCACAACCACTTCGATAATCTCCATTTAAAAGAACGTTGGCATTAACTTTCATTGGATTTTAACATTTTGACATGCTAAATTCTAATGAGAGCACTGGTGGGCTTAAGTTAGAGATTCCAAATAAACAAACTAAATGCTTAAGTATTCTAACTTAGTCTTTAAGCCTGCAAAGCAAGGTATGTCAAAAGACTTAATATTTTTCTTTGTTTTTTGATTTTCAGAGTCCTGGAGCTTACAACAGATATGCTAGAGAAAAAGAGTTTCAGCTCAGCATGAACAGTAGAGTCAAGAGGCTCTGAGAGTTCTGAGTGTAAAGTGATTAATTTTTTAAAAGCAACACACTCATCTGCCATCATGCTGAGAATTATCTCCTTTCCATACCTTTACCATTAGCAAGTAACTCAGTATCCCTCCAAATACTTCAAATTTCAAAACTGAAATGGTCTATCTGCCTCATGAGAAAATCAGTGAAAGATAAGATTATGTGTGGGGAAGGAACCTGAATGACCTGGGGGCAGGTAACAGGGGACTGCTATTTGGAGGCTTATGTCTGGTACCCAGTGCTTTTTACATGGGCTAATTTGTCCACTCTATTGTACCAATCTGTTGGGTTTTCTTCTTCTACTTCAAGTGTACATTCCCTGGACAGGGGCGATCCTTCTGTGTGATGTAGTAGAAACTGCACTAAAAGTTACTACTATTGCAATAAAATAACTTCTGGGCTGCTGGTTTAAATCCTGCTCAGATAAGAAGTGATAACACATTTTTAAAATTTAAGCACCTGCACCTGTAGTTCCCCATGGCTGTTTGTGTTCGACACAGAACTGGTGACACTGAGGGCATTGGCAATATATTAGTATTTCATGTGAAAAAATGCACCATGGAAACCTGCTTGTGTTCATCAAGAGACAGTCCCTTCACTTCAGGCAGGGTTGAAGTGTACATCTGGGAATGCTAAGGGAAAACTGTGCACTGGGTCTACAGACTACTAAGACTGTCAAGCCTCTGCATGTAAACATACATTTTGATGCTGCTCATCATGATTTTATACCAAGAATTCATGGTACAGTTTTCCCTTTTGCCATTTAAAAAGTCTTTATCTTTTCTAGATTAAAGAAGGCAATACATAGACTGAAAAGTTTAGCTTTTTTACTCAGGGCTGTACTGTAGTAAATGCCTTTCCAGCTGTTATTTGTGTTTCTTTGTGGCAAAAATTACATCTGGATTCTCAACCCTGAAAGCATAACTGAAGTTTTGCTGAGATGGGGAAGCAATAGGAGTGGGCTGAGAGGGAGAGCTTCAGGGAAGAGTCTCGCTGCTTTGCTGCTGCTGGGGAAGGTGAATGTGAGCTGTTGCTGCTGTTGGGAATAACAGTTCCCACCACAGTCCCATAGATTCTGTAATTCCTGCAGCAGCAGGAGCCAACCTGATTTTCAGGGCTTTGTTATTGGCAAAGTAGGAATGAGAGCATGGCCATTTTCACCCCTCCTCTCCCTCTTCTCCTTCAGCAATCTGCTGCCTTTGCCTGTAACCAGCCCTGTCAGGTGTGACATGATGTTACACATAATACTACATGCTTTAGTTCTGCATTTTATAAGCAAAGAACTCTTGATTGCTGCAAACTGCCTGGCACCTTTTTCTCTAATGCTAATGGTAAGATTCCAGCTTTTCCCACCGTGTTTCCTTTTCTGCATGTGAACAGTAGATTGCAACGTTTATTTAAATAGAAAGAAATTTGTTTTATCAATCCCAGCAAATACTTGTGAATGCCCACTAAAACTGAAAAATACTTCAGTGGGTCAAAGACCTTATAAAGATTTATCTGTGTTTTCACATTAAAAATTTCCACCTCACTTAGATGTGAAAGTACCAAAAGGTTGTTTGATTTCTAGAAATTGCCTGACTTGAATTCTGTGTGCTCTTCAGTGAAGATGAGTGTTTTCATGTCAAGATGACAGTCAGCATTTCCAGTTCAGCTGCCTAAGTCAGATACGTGCCTTAGCTATAGCAAGCACTTCAAAAATCTATATGAGCTGAAAAGGATCTTCTTCTGTCAATAAAATGTACCTGGGAGTGATTCCGTCTGCAATCATGGGAGTCAGAGTTTAGCTTTTAATTGGAGCAGGAGTGAGCTCTTTGTTTTGTGCCATCTGTGCTGTAATTTCTTTCAAGCACAAGTGCTTTTAAATAGCTGAACTCCTTGATTACTTATATATTTTATTAAATTAATAATTCTGTTAAGAACTTTGGCATTGCATTTGGTTGAAGATGCATCTATTTCTTACAAGAGTAGTGTAGGAGGGGTAAATGTGGAGCACCCACTTAATGTCCTTATTTCATGGTGAGATTACAAATCCTATTTGGTTCATGAGATGGTGTGAGCATCTTGGATGGCAAGTATTTTAGAAAAGGAATTTTACTCTTGCCAATGAGCAAAGGTGACTGATGGAAAAGCCCATTCTACAAAATCTGTGTTTCATGAGACGCCTCCCTCAAAACTGTTGAAACTGAATTTCTGTGGGAAGAATAGATGGAAAGGAGAGAGAGGCATGGAGAGCACTAGTATGCATGGTATGTAATCCATGTATGTAATCTGCTATCCATTCACAATCCAGCACACTCCCATGGCTAAGAGGAAAATGAAACACGTACACTTTCCTTTTTACTCCTGTGAAACAAACCACAGAACCCCTTCATGCAGATATCCATTATCCACAGGATCCAGTCATATGGATCTGTCCCCTGTGCAGATGTGTA